GCTACATTATTTACGAAAAATTTGTCAATTAATATTATGTGGTAATAAACTATCAAATTTTATTTATTTTACTTATTTATTTTATTTATTTATTTCATTTATTTATTTTGCTTATTTATATTGTTCACATATTTCGCAATTCACTAATACGCAAATCGTTTTATAAAACATCACTATTGATTGCAAGTTTATTATAAATTAAATATATTGATTGCATTTATAAAATTAATTCAATATCTTTCTGTTTAAAGTATATTCCTAAAAAATTTTTATATATGTTTTTTCGATCCTATTGATATCACATTACTTGTTGCGAAAAAAAGTATTAGTATTTAAAAGTTTTGGTAAAACCAAGCAAATACCAAGCCAATCTCAAATGGATACTCAACAATACCCGTACAATGATTTATAAATCAACACTTCTTCGAAATATGTATATAACTATTTGAAACAATCTTATTATATATTTAAACAATTAATGAGAAATCACAAAATTTTCAAGCTGATCAGAACTACCAATGGTTCTTCTGAAACTGAATTAAAAAAAGCTGAGGACATACAAAAACTCATATAAGGAAGTCTTTTTCAAAACTTATTCAAAATTTACATAAAACTATTCAATTAATAAATAAAACCATTATATATAGTATATAAATTGGTTTGGCATATTTTAAAGGGTTTGTGTTCCAATTAAATTATTTATAAAATTAATATATTGAAACTTATAATAGACCAAATGCAGCTAGTTACACTAAAACCATTAATGTTTTAGTGTATTAATTAACCATTAATGTGGTATTGCTCTCCACTAAAAGAAAAAATAAAACGACAACAGTTAAAGTGCCTGCGAATCGCACTAAAATAAAGCATAATAAAGAAAAATTTCCTGAAAAGTTTCTATTTAAACTCTGATATATTGAGTTTCGATATTGCAGCAGAAAAGTAGGTATTAATTTTTGTAAGCATATGAAAGACACATCTAATTGACATGACCATGTATATAATATTAATAATTGATAAACAATTTTTATCTTTAAATAGATGTTATACATATGCCAAACTTAGTAAATTTCTACTCAATCAAAATTGAAATCTGCTAAAGAAAATGGACTTGGAATCATATATAAAATCGCAAGAAAATTCAAGAACGGAACCCGCTGGAGTATCAGCCTCCTTAAAAAATAGACTAATTCGTAGTGAGAGTAATGTGCAAAGTAAAACCTGGCAAAGGGTTGCATTTGTCGCCGCAGACAAGAATAATTGGGTTCAGTTTGTTGACGCTATATGTTCTAGATCAAATTAAAAAGCACATTATTGTATTAAATAAATAAAGAATTATTTATACATAAGAAATTTTTGTTTATGTTATTTTTTTCTTGGCTAGCCACATATGGGATTTATATCTGATTTAAATTTAATATAATATATATTAATATAATATATATTATAATATATATTTAATAAAATATATATATAAATAACTAGCTGACCCGGCGAACGTTGTTTCCCCTTGCAATTAATTTTCCTGGCTCAGCTGAGTTATAATATTTGTTGTTATTCAACTTAACCTTTAGCATTTTAATACGAAAATTATTTTGAATTGATTTTTTCTTTTGAACTACAAAAAGTCCACATGCATTACTTATGTTGTGTTATTTGAAAAAATATTACTTATGTTATTTGAAAAAATATTTTCAAATCCTTATAAGCACTACATTTTAAATGAAAAAAGAATATCAATGGATATTGCAAAGCGTCGTAAGAGCGATAACTGTCATCAATCGTATGCACTGTGTTATCTCTGCGTTGTATTCATATATCTTGACGTTCAAATGCGTCGCCAACCATAACAACTGCAACTTCATTAATAGTCGGTGCATTATATCGGCCCGCATGCTGCCCAGATGGTACTTTGTCTGCTTTTATGACGATTGTATAGTTGTCGTTTAGCAGTCGGTTTGAAACGGTATTGAACAACTGGACCAACTGGTTGTGATTTTTTAAAAACGGTTCTAAAATACCCACAATTTCTTGCTCCTCCATCTGCTCGATATGGTTGTACTGGCAACGTGCGTTTCTTTGCTGCTTCTCATTACCCATGAAGTAGATTTGCAGAAATTTGGGATCATTATTGGGCATCGGCATTAAAAAACCAATTTGGTGATACACTTGGCCCTGAATCTTAAGCGTTGATTGAAAATTGCGACCAATCTCATTCTGAACGATTTTTGTTGTTCCAAATGATGTCATTTAAAAGCACGAATTGAATTTGCGAATTTTACGAAAAAACAATTTAGATTGAGATGTAGCTCCAGCCAATAGTGCTTTCAATAGTTTTGGCGACAAATTCAATGGTGGCAATACAACTTTTCCAGATGTGTAGCAGAAACCGGCCGATTCACCTTTGTATTTGAGTGTATGACAGTGTTGGCACTGTTTGTTCATAGCACCGATTACAATTCGTGAATGTGACGAATAGTCGATAACCGACTCATATTCAAACGCAAGGTGATGAAATGATGAACGTGTCAATGCCCGATACACTTGCAAACGCTGTTGTTCACGTGTTCTGAATATGTCGGTGACTCGTGGACGGGCCAGTCTTTGTCTCAATGCATTAGCTCGAAGGCGTTATTTGCGTTGCTCTTGACTTTCATTAAGACGTGTGATTGTATCCTGGTTTTTTACATTCTCATTGTTTTCTGCCGATCTATTTAACCGACGGTTCTGGAGTAATTGTGAATTCAGAGTCGCTCGACCAATATTTTCTCCTTGTCCACGAAGACGTGGCATTGTTTTTTGTACGTTATTTATATCTTTATATATATAATTTTTCTTTTTTGTATGTGTTCAAGTGAATTCAAGGATGGTCTAGATTCACAATTTGGTCCATTTATATTAGACATTTAAAAGTTATTCATTCTTACTTTGATTTGTTTAAAAAGTTTAAACTCTAAAATGAATCGTTCAACTATCCTGTGGAATTTTTGAATTCGCTGGATTTACCAGGAATACCACCACATAACTTAAGATTAAAAATTGGCTCACCTATAATTATACTGCGGAATTTAAATGCATTTAAGCTATGCAACGGCAGTTTTACGATTCATTATAGAGATTTTAAACTTTTTAAACAAATCAAAGTAAGCATGAATAAATTTTAAATTTCTAATATAAATGTACATGGAAACCAAAAAATAAAAAATTATATAAAAAGACATTATCCAGTGGGCCAAATTGTGAATCTAAACCTTCCTTCAATCCACTTGCACACACAAAAAATTTCATCAAAATCGGTTCAGCCGTTTAGGAGGAGTTCACTGTCAACACACGTACAGAAGAAATATATATATAAGATATACATAACAAACATGTACACAACACATATGGTATAAATATATCCATAATGCATGTACATAATAATAATAATAATAAAGAGAAGACATGAAACTTGCCCAACAGCCGGTACTGCGGCCAGAAGAGTCCTATTGTACCGGTTTCACTATTGATTAAACAAAGCCCCTTAAAGCTTTGTGAATAAAGTCTAGAACTAAATCTAGAGAAGAGTTCTTAATCTGCTCTGGTGACAGAAATTCTTTATATGCATGTACATATATATATGTGAAAAATCCAATGGGTTCGTATCTATTTAAAACATTTTTAATACTAAGCATTAATGTCATTTTCTTGACATTATATTTAGTGTAATAAAAAGAAGGGCTTACATTTTATTTAAATTGCAGACAAAAATATTGTTTTAATAACCTAGTATCTAAATTTCTATATTAATCTATATTATTTAGAAGAATCTAAATAAAAAATTGAAACTTACCTCTCCAATTGTGTGCTTTTCTTTGAGCTTGGATGCAATCTCTGCGTACCTAAGTAAGAAATCTTCTTCAAACTGTTCAAGATTGCCGTCAAAGGAAGAAATTAGTACATCACAGGCTTGAAGTATTAAAACTTCGCGTGTATATTCAAAATAAACAGGATAAATATGCGACAGATGTTTATCAATCAAATCGCTAACATTAGGTTTCTTGAATAAAAAAATTTCAACTTTAAGTATTAAAAAGTTATAAACAAACAGAAATAATTACCAGCTGTAACATTCGCGCCAATCGTTCGTCCCTAATCGAAGTGTCACAGTTTAATTCACTTAGCGTTACATTATCACAATTATCTGGATTAATTTCATTACCCGTCATTGTGATAGATGAGGTTAAACTAAAGTTAATATCATCATAGGAACATTCATCCTCATCAGCAGCATCTAATGAAGTTAAATTCATCTCCGCTAAACACTCAACAGATCTTTCACATATTGTCCCAAGTGCTTGGACTACAGGAGGAGAATATGCAGTAATTGTATCTGTTATTGTGTTGACTGTTGCATTTGTTGTTGTTGTTGCTGTAGTTGTTATTGCAGCTGTTGTTGTTGTTACAGTTGTTGGTATTGATTCAGTAATCGATTCCAGATTTGTTGATTGATTACAGTGACCAGTTAAACGGTCTTTACATTTCTTCAGATAGTTACGAACACGCGATTTACTGCGCTTAACCGCGTTGTCTACGTTACCGTTTTCGATATTTTCTGTGGCACAAACACAATTTGCTTCTTCCTCACGTGCAATCGGTGCAGTGACGTTGCAATGCGCCATAATGACCGACCTGATCTCATTTCCATTGGAAACTATTCGTGCTATTGGTTCAACGTTTGCCGGCAGTGTTGGTGCATCAATTTTCGTGTCATTCACCACCAGCACTTGAGTCAAATACTGTTCATTGGTGCTATTGTTGCTGGCATTATTGTGCGCCAGTTGTGCAGTTTCATGCTCCTCCACCGCTGGCGGCGAATCCAATGAATTGAGCTGATTAAGGTTGCTGTTAACATTATTTGGTATGCTACCCTGTAAGTGTTAAAGGAGAACATTGAATTATGATTTTTGCACAAAACCAAAAAAAAAAAATAATTAATAATAAAATTTGACTTAAAACTGGGTTGGAAAATTACAAAAGTTTTTGTAATAATAATTATTTTCTTATTCTTTAAAACTTATGAATTATTTATGTCTTTATGGCGTGCTAGATATGTTTCTGTTGTATGGTAATTTGAATTTTTAAATTACGTTATAACTTTAATTATTCTATGTATTCTACATATTGCATAAAATAATTATTATTAAAAAAGTACCGTAAGTAATGTACACATAGACAATTTACCGGCGCATCTAACATGCAAAAAAGATTTGAATGAGAAAACAAAAATATTTGTTTTAGAAATAAGAAAACAACAAAAATCGATTGTTAAGAAGCAATTGAGGGCAACATTGATTGAATTCAACAAAACATATTTAAGAGCTGACATTTTGCACACAGCGGCCCATCAGAGAGTTTTCCACTGAGGAACCACCCACAATATTCATGACAAAATGTACATAAAAATATTGCATGACTTAAAAAACGAACGGCAAAAATAGTAACAAATCGCGCTAAATTTAGTAAAAAGGAAAACACATTTCTTTGATTGACGTAGGTCAAGAGTACTGTTCACTTTCTCCGCATATTGGCATACTGTGACATTTGGCCACAACAAACAAAATTTATCCTTTGTGATGACCGCATTGTTTTGTTTTAACTTTGAGTGACTTAAGGCGTTCCTTCCATAACAAATCCACTCTTTGTGGTTAACACCTTCGCACAAATAATATCAAAAAGTCACTGAAAAATGTATGAATTCACCTTCTTTTTGAGAAAATACATATCCCCACTGCAGTATCTGAAGTTAAAAATAGTTTTGTATCTTTGCAGTTAATTGTTTGATTTGCTAATTTCACAATTGAAAACTATATCGAATCATCTTAATTTTATTTATTGCCATTTTGCTTATCCTTCGAGCAAGGTTACAAAGCGGCTCACACCAGACTGATTTGTATTAATCACACTTTTACATTTTTTGTTTACTTTTCTCTATGAAATTTAGTTAAAGTTTATTGTTTCCTAGGTGCTTACACTTCCTACTTTGCCACTAAACAAAAGAAGCTTTTGTCTATAGTTTGCCGACTCATATAGTCGTCAGATGGCGCTTTCCAGGAGCAGGCGCATTTGAGACATAAAACTTCTACGCTTAAAGGGACAAAGGATATTATAATACAGCACTATTGTCTTCACTTAACTGAAGGGAATTCCTAGTATAAAGTCAAGTTTATGTGTTATTTTATAAATGGAGAGATTTACTTTTCAACGAAACTACAAGTACTGCCATGGATAATGGAGTGGAATATATAAATATATAATTGAAAATGGATGTTTATTATTACATTAGCTTTTTTATTTCTATATAATATAATAGGGTTGCGATATTCAGGAAGTTAGCAAAGGGTCGCTGAAACACTAAAGTAGTATATTCCATTATAATTTCTAATTTCCATCGTAATATTATAGCAAGATGCGCTAAAAGTACGTAAAGAAGCAGACTTTGTTTCACAATGTGAATACATTATATGAAGAAAAATTATAATTAAATAATAAATATTTATCCTTTGCTCTTTTTACAATAAACTGAAGAAAATAAATATTAACATTTTAAGATTAAGTTTTTTCAAAAGAGTTTCCATAAAAATGATTTTCGCATGAAGTTACTAAAAATGTTTAAAAAAGGCATTAATAATTCATTAATTGGCTTATGTTAGCTTATTAATTTAATATTAGATTTAAATGTATTTATATTAAAATGTATTTATATTAAATAAAAATATCAGTACTTAATTTTATATAGTACATAAATTTCTTTGTAATTTTAAATTGAACTTCAAATTACAAAATTAAGAAAAGACATTATATCTGAACATATTGGAATAAACTAAAGAAACATGGGATGGTAATAATATATAGAAGTAATCTTAGCCCACATTATAGAAATAATAATAATTAATACTATAAAAATAAATTGGTTGTTTGTTTTTTATCTTTTGTGTTTCTAAGTGATTTTCTAATTTAATACTATATATTAATATAAAATACTATATTTTATTATAGTTATTATTTTATTATTTTAATATATAGTACTAAAAATTATGAATCGATAGGTAATAATGCCTTGATAACTTAAAGTAACGTAAAGTAAAAAAAGATTATTATACTTATTTTATATATTTCAAACGATTATAGAAAAGATTACTATAAGTAGATTTAAGTGAATTAATTAATTAATATCTGAGCATAATAAAGGACAGAATAACAAAAAAAAATATTAAATTAAAGTATTGTTTATTTATTATATACAAATTATATCATTTTTATGGATTTTTTAACTTTACTTTAAATAATAACTTCAATTCAAGTTGTTTTAAATGATTAGACGTAACCAACTCGAATTAATTTTAGTCAGAATTAATTTATAGTCTTTAGCTACACATTATATTAAATGTTCGACAACATTAATAATATTACAGTACTTATATAACAAATTAGAGTATATTATATTTAGATAATGCTTTAATTATGTTACAAGTGCTCTAACACAACACTATTTATTATAGAAAATTCGTTTTCATATTCAATCAGAAAAAAACATGTTTAATCTAAGTCTTGGAATCGGACCTAAATTGTAAATCGAATAAAAACCAGAAACCGAACTAAAAAAAGATATCAATTGTTTTCAATTTAATTATTTTCAATTTTGTTTAATTTACTAAATAAAAGTTAAAAACAAATTTTATTTAAAAACGAAAATTATAAATCAATAAAAGAAATTTAATAACTTTTATAACTACGCTTTTTTAATAGATAATACAGAATGATTTAATTGATCTATAATAAAAACATATATTTATCTTATATGTATCTTAAAAACATAAAAATTATAATATATCTGTTAATTAATTACATATGCACTGGATTGAACCGAGAAACTGGATTGAATCGAGAACAAAAGAACATTGACCTTTTATCAGGACTTGAAAAGTTTCTAAATAATTGCTTTATATTTTCCTTAGTTATATAAAAGAAATATATGCATACATCAGAACGGTGGCTTGAGTGTTTTAAATGACGCCAGAAAAGTAGTTAGCATTAAATTAGTATACGCGACCATAAACCAATTTTCAACCACGATTAACCGAATAAGTTCTGGGTCATATTCTGAGCATATTCCAATTGAGTAATAACCGGGCGGTGTAGTTATGCCATATGTATTTAGAAATTTGCTCTGTATAGTAAAAATATCTATCAATTACTTCGAAGAGGAAGTAATAAACTATCTATAGTTTATATTAAATTCCATAACTAGTGCGTTTAAAAATTATAATCGCAAACAAAATAGCATTAACTGTGGTTAAAAGAAGAAACTACATGAGAAGAATCATTATGAGAAGAAACTACAGTAGAAGAAAGTTCTCTTGCATTACAATACAGCACCGTTCTAAAAATGTATTTTAGTGCATCTGGAAATATGTAAATTTCTTAAAAATTCGGATTGTTTTAATTTTTATACACCTGAGAGATGCAACTCAAATGTAAAAAAACTATCCGAAATAGTTGTTTATTGTAAATGTCTCAAAAATTTATTTGATATAGATATGTTAGAAAAGCATTGGAATGATTTCAGATCCGAATGGACTATTATAGAGATATATATTATTATAATTAATTCTTTAAATAAATTTATTGAAAATGTTTTTGAAAATGAGACATTTTTTTATGTAAGACTTGTTAATTTACTAAAACCTACCAAAAAGTTGTCTTCCATAAAATTTATCGGAAAGAACAAATGTTATTCTATTTCAAAGTGCAGGAATACAAACGTACTTTTCTCTTATAAAACCCATGATAGTAACATAGAAATATGTTCAATTTCGATTGATTTTCAGCAAACTTATGAAAGTTTATTTAAATTGAAAAGTCCATAATACCATATGTGGTAATTTCGAGTGCTAGTGTGTTTATCTCGATGTGTAAACGTTTTAATAGAAGTAACCGGAGTACTCCTTTTAATGTATTCTTCACAATATACTTGTATGTAACAATAAGCTGGCTTTTTCAAAAGAACATTATAAAAAACGGTCCATGATCCAAAGACTCTCTTCGATATCTGTAAGATTCTATGATACAAAAATATTAATTACAAAAAATATATCGAATATTTTGGAAAATAAAAGTAAATTTTCGTTTTCAAAAATATTAACTCCTAAAATCAGCATAGGGCCGCAAAACTTTAAACCACTATTATTTTCAAAACCCAATCAATAAGACATCAAAATCAAAAATATAAAATGGACCAGTACACAACATAAAAAATTAATTAGTTGTGCGGCAATAACTCAGAAATCATGTTCTCTAACTTATGAAAATGCATTTAATTTCAATTCGGAACATATAATACCGAATTAAAAATCAAGGAAGATGTAAAAAACAATTTCTTAACATAATCATAGGAGAAATATTTGAACAGTTGATGCAAACATAGAGCAATTGCCTTGCATTTCTTTGTGTAAAAAGTATTTGGTGATCGGATTGAACTTGTGTTGTTTGTGTTTTTATGCTGTGTGTACTTTGTCATAACTAATAACTTCTTCTATCATAACTATGATATTTTTTACGACAACTAATTCAGCTTTGAGCAGTTTTTCTGAATCGCTTTCCAGATATAGATGATTGTATAACTAACTATTTTTTTCGAATGCAAGGGCCTGATATTCTAATATTCTGTACATCAATACCACTATCCATGCGATGTTATTTTTCTTGAATCTCAAAATTAAAGGTTATTAAAATAATATACTATGTATGCATAAAATCTGACATACGGACTAAATATTTTTAAAATTTATGTTATAGCAAAAAGAAATTATTTAATTCTTACCAAAATTGCAGGAAATTGTTGTCTTAAAAACAGTGGAGCTGTTTCATT